AATTCGAGATAAAGACACTGGATAAAAATTTGGGATAAAAGATTCGGGATAGAAATGCAGGACAAAAATTCAAGATAAAATAAAGACGAGTTTGGAGATATGTGCTATGGAGAAAGAATCACACCCCAATCCGGGATAAAGACACAGGATAAATTTCGGGATAAAGATCCGGGATAAAAATTCAGGATAAAGTCACAAGATAAAAATTCGAGATAAAAGATTCGGGATAGAAATCCAGGGCAAAAATTCAAGATAAAATAAAGATGAGTTTGGAGAGATGTGATCTGTAGAAAAGTCCCAGGATAAAAATCTGGGGTAAAGACGAAGACGAGTTTGGAGAAATAGTGATCCTGGCAAATTGATCCTGGCAAAGGATCACACCCCAATCCGAAATGACTCACAAATCAACATGGTGAAATTATCTGACGTGAAAAGAGCCGCAATCAGATTAGAAACCCATAGTGAACATCGCCAGGTTCAAAGCTTAAATATTGTAACAAAACAAGTCAAATACAAAAGCGACTACAAGCAAAGAAAATATTCAGAAAAAGAAGACAAGTCCGTTAAATGTGGAGACAACCGCTATTATACCCCGGTAGCCCAGACTACCGGACTGGGGGGCAATTGTTATGGACTCGACAAAGGCCTATATTCTAGAAGGTCCAATAAAGGACAACGCAAAACGAAGGGAATCTTCTATTAATGACGATCCTATCCAGACAGCTAAACAATTAGACTTGGCCCCCCAATATTCCTAAGAGGCTCAGAAGTACAATTTTGTCTCTTATCAGGTAACTCATCTATAAACAAGAGGTTAAGCCAATAAGATACACAGATTCTAAACCCTCTTTCTCTTAGTTGTCACTGTGCACACACCCCATCCTTGGGCTATGCTGTTTATTATAGTGCACAATGATCCGTTGATCTCTATGGTATCTCTCCGTAGATACTTGAGAGGGCACACAAATCCAACAGAAATGTACCAAACATTAGGTTGGACATCCCGATTTATCATATTGGAACAACCATATTTGGTATCATATTTCAAAATATTTATACGGAAAAGTGATTTACCTAAGAATCCATTTTGTGTGTAAATTGTGAGTGAAAATTTCATACAAAGATGGTATTCTTAGATTGATGGGGAAATAGAAAAAAGTACTGAAAAAATTGACCAGAATTAGGAAACTTATCCAATATTTCTAGTATTATATTTTACTTATCAAACGGCTTTTTGGTAACATTTTCGAAAAACTTATTTTTTCAGGAAGTATGATTCTCGGATAAAAAAAAATTTCTCCTCTATCAAACACCCCTAAGTTGTGACTTTGGAATTACACAAAACCTGTAATTTCATCCAAACTATTATAATTTTATGGTTAAGATCTTTATCAATCTCTCCTCTCTTTTTACAATATTGATTCTTGATACCTAAATGCATAATTTCTTAGTTGTTCATATCCTACATATTCACGGTTTTTTATCATTCAATTATGTAAATACATATTATAAAAAAGTTTCTAGATTGTTGATTACTAAATAGTTTAGAATACAGACCGTATTTGTTCCTTTTCCTTTTAGATCTAGTGTATCTTTTTCAATTTATAAGTATCGTCAAGTTTTGTTCGTAATGGATCTTCGTTCTTACATGAAAGAAAAAATATTAGTTTTACTTAATTGAAAATAGTATAAAATTAATTAACAATTGAAAGGATTAGATGAATGCCTATACATATGAATGTAAAATTATAATCAAATTTTTTGTCATAAAACAATGACGAGTCAGTATTTTTTGTGGGGTGGTTAAATATATACTTTAAGATTCATAATTAAAATAAATTAATTATATAATTGAATAAAAATACTCACAATACAATATAAGTAAAAATACTCAAATCAATTGAATTGACTAGAAAATAAAACCAATTTTATGTATTATACATTGATTTGATATTTAGGTAGATATCAAATCTATTTGAGATTGACTAGAAGATAAAATTAATTTTATCATGTTTAAACTTATTTTATATTTAACTTTAAAGTTATCATTTATTTATTATATATTGATATTTAGATATATATTGAATCTATGTGAGATTGGTTAAAAAATAAAAAATAATTTTATCATATTTAAATTTATTTTTTATCCAATTTTTAAATCCTAATTCAATTCTTCCTGTCTTATTTATTAGTTTATTAAATATTGATATTTAGATAGTCATAAAATATATTTATATAATTACTAGAAATAAAATCAACTTTATCATGTTTAAATCTGCTTTCTATCTAAGTTTACTTCTTCTATTTTTTTCCAATATATTTCAGATATTTATATCTTTTAAACTAATTCGAATAACATAATCTTTCAACAATATCGGAGGGATAACAAATTACTCTTGTAACAACATGATCAGTGACGTCAAGCATTATTAATCTTAATCAGTATATGAGTAATAGTAATACTAGTTATCGATTTGAAACCCCCCCCCCCCCCCCCCCCCCCCCCCCCCCCCCAATTTTCAATAAGTTGATATTAAAATAAATTTGATTTCACATGAATATATTCCAAAAAAGTTTAAATTTAATACAAAATTTTATATTATGGTTCAATGATATGTTAAAAGTTAAACTTCATAAATACTGTTTGTAATAATAAAATAATGTTGATAACTTTAATGATAGTAAAAAAAATATAAAACCAATTATAAATCAAAATTAAATCTTTCCAAGTAAAATTTATTAGGAAAATATTTGATATAAACTCGTTCAAAAAAAGTTAGTTTGGATTCTGACAAGATTCAAATCCGTGCTCGACCAAGATTTAACTGAGAAGTAATTGTGTTAATAAAAGTATGAAAAAAAAATGCCTTTAGTGAGTTAATCTATCCAACGTGGACAAAAAAATTTATTTAATGATTTTTAATAAATTAATTACGCATTTATTACAATTTTAAAAATAATTACACATTTATTGCATAATAAGACACCCATTTTGGGCGTCACTCATCAAGTGTTGACACATGTCATATTTTTTTTCCAAAAAATAATAATTTAATCATAAAACTTCTTAAGGCCATAACTTTTGACTTGAGTATCCAAATCAGGTAATTCTTTTTTTGATTCCACATAACTTTTCGATATCTACGCAATGATATCTTACTTAATATATTTTATTTCTCACAAACATAATTTAAATTTAAAAGAATGATATTATAAGAGCGGTTAAATTCAGAAGCCTCTCAGTTCTGGGTTTGTGATTTAATATAAAAAAATAAATAAAGATTTGATTTGTGATTTAAATTAAAATAAAATTAAAAATTTGATTTGTGATTTGTGATTTGATTCGTAGTCTGAAATTAATGATGGCTTATGAATGTTTTTCAAAAATAAAATCCTTCTTCCTTAGAGATTTAGAATATTTATTTAATTATTTTCTTTATTAATACAGACATTTCAAATTGATTTTTGAGTTTAAATCACAAATCAAATCTTTATTTTGTTTTCCTTATTAATAATAATTGTTATTTTTAATTTAAATCACAAACCAAATTTTTTTATAATAAAAATAAAAAAATTTATTTTTTTTAATTTAAATCACACGTCAAATCTTGATTTATTTTTGATATTAAATCACAAACTCAGAACTCAGAGGCTTTTGAGTTTAAAAATATGACACGTGTCAACACCTGACACGTCACCAATGACGTCTAAATTGGATTTCAATAAAGAGACAATCACGCCTAATTTAGGTAATCTTATTTTTGAAAAACATTCATAAGCTATCATTAATTTCAGAACACGAATAATAACCCAGAAGCTTATAGCATTAATCGTTAATTTCAAAAATAATATCCTTCTTCCTTAGAGATTTAAAATATTTATTTAATTATTTCCTTTATTTCTACGCAAATTGATTTTTTAATTTAAATCACAAATCAAATCTTTATTTTGTTTTCCTTATTAATAATAATTTTTGTTTTTTTTTAATTTAAATCACAAACCAAATTTTTGTTATAATAAAAAAAATTATTATAAAAAAAATTTAAATCACAAATCAAAATTTTATTTATTTTTTTATATTAAATCACAAACCCAGAACCCAGAGGCTTCTGGATTTAACCCTCTTATAATATCATTCTTGCAAATTTAAATTGTGTTTGTGAGAAATAAAATATGTCAAATGAGATGTTATTGCGTAGATCTCGAAAAGTTATATGGAATCAAAAAAAGAATTACCTGATTTGGATACCCGAGTCAAAAATTATGGATTTCAGAAGTTTTATGATTAAATTATTATTATTTTTGGAAAAAAAAATATGACATGTGTCAACACCTGATGAGTGACGCTCAAATTTAGGCTTCATTGCCTCTTGAGTGACGCCAATTTAAGCTTTATTAATGACGCCCAAAATGAGCATCTTATTGTGCAATAAATATGTAATTATTTTTAAAATTATAAATTATAATAAATACATAATTAATTTATTAAAAAACATTAAATAAATTTTTTTGCCATCAAATGTGGCAACAAAATCTCCAAATCTATATTTATTAATTAATAGAAGGGAAAAACATCTATCCTTTTAAAGGATATAAGTTCATATCATTTTAGATCCTAACCGTTGATTTTCGTCCATCAACGGTTATAATTTATTGGGCCAAACTTAATGGGCTAAATTTATTATTAAGTAATTAATAATTTTAATCCAATAAATTATAATCGTTGATGGACAAAAATCAACGGTTAGAATCTAAAAAGATATAAGTTTATATTTTTTAAAATGATAGATGTTATTTCCTTAAAATAATAACAATATGTTAGGAAAGAATCCTTTTAGAAACAATGAGTTATTGCCACGTAGGAGACCCATGATGCATCAGATAACCCGAGATTCAAAAAATAATTGCTTTTTTTTTTTTCCAAAAAATAAAAAATAAAAATAATAATTGCTTCGAATTTGCCCTATAAAATAACGTGCTGCCCCTTTCGTTCTTTTCCATTCACATCACATAACCTAAGTAAAGTTAGGGTTAGGGATTTTACCTTCTTCTTTTTTCTATCAGCGTAAGGTGAAGAAAATCTCATCCTAATCTAAATCATGTCGTCGACGAGGAAGATCACCCTGAAGAGTTCCGACGGAGAGGCCTTCGAGGTTGATGAGGCGGTGGCGCTGGAATCCCAGACTATCAAGCACATGATTGAGGACGATTGCGCCGACAGTGGCATCCCTCTCCCCAACGTCACCAGCAAGATCTTGGCGAAGGTAATCGAATACTGCAAGAAGCACGTCGAAGCCGCGAATCCCGACGAGAAGCCATCCGATGAGGACCTCAAAACTTGGGACGCTGATTTCGTCAAGGTTGACCAGGCCACGCTCTTCGATCTCATCCTGGTCAGTTCCGATTCTGATTTTGTTTTTGATTTTGATTTTATGATATAGTTTTAGTGACTGTTATATCGACTTTTGACTTGTCTGCGTTGGTAGATTATTGATTGGGGGTTAGATTTGGATTTTTGAGATTGGGAATCTGTATAGTTCGTGTCGTTGTTAGGCTCTGTTTGGGATTATTTATTTTGATCGGTGATCAAGTTACTTATTATGATTACTTATTGAGAGTTTATGTAAAAAAAAAAAAAAAAAAATTGCTGACTTTGTTCACTGCGTAGTCTCTATATTTGTGTATTGAATCTGGATTCAGATTTCAACGTTATTGTGAGCTAGGATCCTAATTAAGATGTACATATTTTTTTTTTTTTGAGAAAAGTAGAAGTTTTGTAACTAAAGTGTAAACTTGCAAGTTTCACATTGATGACATTCATTATTCTTTAAGATAAAATGTGGCTTTAGTCATTACCAAGAAGAAAAGGTGGCTTTAGTTAAATTTACATTATATATGTCATTTTATTTTATTTTATTTGACCGGTTCACTCTAGATCCTGTTGAACCGGCTTTTAAATCAGGCTCAACCATTGCTAACCCAATAGGGGTTCTTGAAAATTATGGCAAAATATTTCACCACAATTACTCTCGAGGGATTCGAACCAGCCACCTAAAGGGAGGGAGTGTAATACTAACTACTAAACCATATCATTTTAGTTGTCACATTACCTCTATTTTTATATGTATTAGATATATTTACATAAATTCAATTTTACTTGCTGAACCAATGACTTATGGACCTAGTATTCCGACCGAGTTGATGGCCTGTACACTGCTTTAGAGAGAAACGTAAAGTATATAGAGGATTCTAACAATTCCGTAGTATGTTGGGCATCTGCAAGTGATATCAACTGTCAATGTTTCCGTCCATGCCTTTTCATATTTTGCATCTGACAAACTTATTGCTATTGCATTTTATCTTTTGCCATGTTTTTATTATTTGTGGCGACATAATGACTGTTTATTTAGTAGGTTAAGGCTGTACAATTGCTTATTGGTATGACATTTCTCTTTTCAGGCTGCAAACTACTTGAACATTAAGAGCCTGCTGGACCTTACGTGCCAGACCGTAGCTGACATGATCAAGGGGAAGACTCCAGAGGAAATTCGCAAGACCTTTAACATTAAGAATGACTTCACTCCCGAGGAAGAGGAGGAAGTTCGTCGGGAAAACCAGTGGGCATTTGAATGATTTTGTTAAGCTCTTAAAAACTAATCAAAGACCTTCCATGTGGATTTATGCTATGCTTGTTTTGTTTATCAAAGATCTTCCATGTAGATTTAACTATGCTATATATATACTTGTTTGTTTTATCTTTTCGTCTATTTCTGTTGACTATGTTCGCGGGTCAGATTATATTTCTTCATGAATAAGGGCATTTTGAATTGTAAGTAATAGTTGAATATGATGATGGAATGCGTTGATCCTGGTCCGAGGCTAATTGATAATTCAATATTTGCCAACCTGTCGTTCCCTATCTCTCGTCTCATAATTTACTGGTAATGTATATGTACCACCTTCGCAGGTTTCAGTTTGTGGCCTATTATGTGTTCTAGGCCCCTCATTAACTAAGAAAGACCACTTTATGCCATTAACTTGGAGGTGATGCAGCAAAGCAATATTCAAAGACTCCATGACCAGCTTCACTAAGGTGGTAGCTGCATATTTTTCGTCACTAATAACTAATGTATGAATTAGTGTGGAGCTACATTGTTTAGGTACAATTTTTAAATGGTGGGGCTCTAGATGCCTTGTGGCTCTTATGATTCCCCCTTTTATTGTTATTATCCCATAACAGAGGTTAAGTTGGCATTGAACGATGAGGTATTTTTAAAGGGGAAATTCATGCTTTTTAATGGTATTAAAACAACTTTTTTAGAATTTCAAGAAAAATATTAAAACAAAAAGTGTATAATACGATTGCAATTTCAGCTAGAGTATATAAGAAAGTCAAATTTAAATGATTATTACCGGATGACAATTTCACTAGAGCATATGAGAAAGTCAAATTTAGATGAATTTCATTCTCCATCATCTTATAATAAGGTTTGGAAATGGTTTACAGGTTGAATTGGGGGGTCACTGACTCAATTTTATAGATTAAAAAAATATAAATATATATAAATATATATATTTTATAAGAAAAATTCAAAAAAATCAAACCACCTATAATTAAAGATTCAAAATATACTTAACATAATTCAACTAATTATATCCACAAGTCAATATTTAGCAACTAATCAAAGTATCAAAGTATAACACACATATTCCAAAGTCAATATTCACAGACTAATCAAAGTATCAAACTATCAAAGTATAAAACACATATTCCAATAGAGTTAATGAAAGTTATATCATCAAACTCAGACCCTTCTTGACTTTCTCATGCACCTACAACAATATGTGAAAGTAGATCCCTTATCCAATAGAGAATAGCGGAGGAGAGGCGACGACATGATAAATTAACGTTACGTTCTGGAGAGAAGAACCAGCACAGTGGAGGAGATCACCGGAACAGGGAGACTGGGTCTTAGAGGGAAGATCGAAAAAGTAGAATTAGAACAATTCAGATTTCAGATCTAGTTCTAAATCTGCAGTAACGATTCTTAGATTAACACACATCATCAAATGACATCATTTCGTGTATTTTTTTTTTTTATAAAAAAAATGCATTGATCTCTCTGACCCCGATGTCAAGGGTTCAACCGGAAAATTTCGGGAGTTAGAGGGGTCAACGTACAAGTAGGGTCTAACTATTAACTTGATCCCTCTGAAAGAGGTATATAAATTCTGACAATAAATAACTTGATTCAATGCCTATCTCATAAAAAAAATTGTTTTGATTACGTTACAAAGTGATTTTTCCTAGTTAAAATTCTAATTTATTATTATGTTTTTATGTTTTAGCAATTTCATTATCAAAATATTTTTACAATTTTTTTTTTTACGTTACGATTTTTTTATTCCCTTTTTAAGTGAAATCTTGTTTTTAATTACTTCGCTTGTGGTAATCTTAGGGTCCGTTTGGATAAGTTTTTTTTAAACAAAATTTGCTTCTTTTTTTCAAAAAAAACCACTTCTACTACAAAATTTGTTTGGATGTCTAACAGCCATAAAAAAAAGTAAAAAACTTGCTTTTTTTTGGAAGCTAATATTTAGCTTCTAAAATAGAAGAAGTCAAAAACCAATTTTTTTTCAAAACTTAATTTTTTTAAAAAAATCTAAATAACTTTATATTTTATAAAAAATACTTCTAAAATAAAAATATAAAAAGCACATCTAAACGGCCTGTTAGACATGCTTATCCTGCTACATAAGTTTGGAAATGTATTTTTGTGATTTTTTATTTTTTTTTACTTTCAGATAAAAGATACTGATCATGAAAAACTAGCGCACATTGGAGATGATAGTCAAAATCGAATTAGTCCCGGTCCCGTTAAAGCTTCCGATATCTGTTGGTATTTAGTCTAGACACCTTCGTAACAGGGATAGCTATAATAATTTTTATATAATAATTCAACAGAAAGATCCAAACATGTATGATAGATAAAATATCATATATCAGTTTCTTTCTTAAAAAAATTTGTGTACCTAATTGGATCATCTTATCTACTGAGCGAAGAACTTAGATCTTACGGTTAGAATCTTACTCTCTAAGCTCAATCAAACACTAATGCCGATATTATCCTGTCCAACTAAATTCAATACCAATAAATATCAAAAACTCAACTAAACATGATCACAATAAACTTATCACAATAAATTAAATTAAAATATCCTTTAATCCGATTATTTTAGAAAATATAAAAACATTAATTAATATTTACCACGTACAAAATTTCTAACAATAGCTCCATCTGTGAGTTAGCATAGTTATTTAGTTGTCAATTGAGGTTGGATGATGTACCGAGGTCAGCAAACAAAGAAAGGCTATTCAAATTAAACATCTTCTAAGAGTTAAGTCATGCTTACCAATTGGATTGTCTCCCAAGGAACACACATTGGGTGGTTTTAGTTTTCCTTTATCATCTGTTAGCGAAATTTTCTTCAAACAAATAAAGGGTGTTAACTGCGTAAAATGAATTTAATTGTTGAAAACAAATAACTCCACATGGTTAAGAGGATGTGTTTCTGTACGTAGTGATATCAGTCTCTGCCATAATTTTTCAAACTTAAATAAATTCATATTTGTTGCATCCTCTAACTAATCCATTTCACTAACAAGGGGATTAATCATTTTGACATTTAATCCTTCTGCAGGAGGAAATCCACGATGACAGAGAAAGTAAGTCCAGCACAAGCAATGCTAAACCCAAATAAGATTAACAGCTCAATTATAAATTGAACACCTCAATACAAAATTGGGATTTTCTGTAAGCACCCGGATGCATCCCCTCAAGAGAAACTTGCACCTATATAAAACTGAGATCCTCCATGGTTTTTAGTGGTTGTTTGACCAACAAAAAATCAAGACAGATTATTAAAAAAATCTGAATAAAATTTTTAGGCTACTTGTTCAAGGTTTTGCTTAATCTGTCATCTTCATCTTCGCTATTATTCTAGCTAGTGTTTTCTTCCTGACCCGAGTGAGAACTTGGCAACCTGAATCTATGAGCTAGTTCATCCATCATCATGTTTACTGCTTCAATTCCTTCTTGCCGTTTGTTTGACACTTTGAAATTGTGAACAATATATTTCAAGTCCGCAAGACTGCTTCCAGGCATTATCCCTAACCTTCTTTCCTTCATCAGTTTTTGCACTCTAGAAACATTCTCCCATTGAGCAGCCACAGCATAAATGTTCAGTAGAAACTGGTAACAGACAATGTTCTTAGGATCCATGTCAACAAGAAGTTTAGCAATTCGTTCCCCCAAGTAGACATCTCTCTTGAAACGACATAAACCAAGCAAACTTGCCCATAATAATGATTCATGTGACATATCTCCATCAAATTTTGCCATGCTCCGCAGGAATTCTTCTGCCTCATCAACAAGCCCCACATTTGCAAGAAGATTCGCCATGCACCAAAAATGAGCAAAATTGGGCTTCACATCAAATACATCAGTCATTTGTTTGAAGTAGCACCTGCCCTCAGTCAACATCTCTGCCCTAGCACATGCACAGAGGATGCCAATGAAGGTTATTTCATCAGGAAGTAACCTAACTAGACCTCTATCTGCACTTGGACTCTCGACAGACTCAACTTCATGTTTCATCTTTGCCATCCCAATCATTATATCAAACAGGCTTAATCCATCTTCAGGACTCCCGCGAATGCAGTGCCCCAAGATCATTGCATTCCATGAAACCAAATTCCTGTCTGTCATCCGCTCAAACACTCTATTCGCTACCTCCACCCTCCGGCATTTACAGTACATGTCTATCAAAGCAGTATCAAGAATCAAACTTGACCCCACGAACATCCTGATGATGCTCCCATGAACTGATCTTCCTTCCTTTAGTCTAGCTGACCGACCACAAGCCGTAACCACAGATACCATAGTCCTAGCATTACCTTTCAGTCCTATCTTGCCCATCTCCCGGAACAATTTCATCGCATAACCAGGGTTCCTAGCCTTGAGATATCCACTAATCATGACATTCCAAGTAACCAAATTCCTATCAGGCATTTCATCAAACAATGCATGTGCATCCCTTAAGTCACCAATCGTCACATACCCATCAATGATTGAATTCCATGAAACAAAATCCCGAATCAACATATTGTCAAAGAGCACCCGAGCAAGCTGAATATCCCCACAACAAGCATACATGTGAATCAAAGAGTTTTGCACCTGCAACACAGAGTCAACCCCATTCTTAAGAGCCTGGGCATGGCATTTTCGCCCAGAATCAACACAACCCATCTTGGAGCAAGAGCCAATGAGTGGCACAAAAGTATAGCTATTGGGAAAGAAACGATTCGTCAAAGAGCGAAAGTAGAAAACAAGTGCCTCGTGGGGAACATGGCTGTTACAATAAGCTTGGATGACGGTGTTAACGCAAAAGGTATCCAAGGGATTAACGTAACGAAAGATGAAAAGGGTGTAAGCGAGGTGGCATAAATGAGAGGAGCGGCTCAAAAGGGTGCGGGCCAAGAAGGGGTTGCGGAAAAGGCTTGAGGTGATAAGAAGAGCTTGGATTTGTAGGAGATTGCGAGCGCTTTGGCATGAGCTTTGAAGAAGGGCTTGGAACTGTAAGGGGGAGAAGAATAAGTGTGTTCTTTTTTCTTCAGGGATTAATGAAGAAGAAGAAGAACAAGAAGAAGGTGTAGCGTTAATGTCAATGTTAATGTTAATGTTAATGTTAGTGTTGGTGATGGGACGCATGAAAATGATGTTTCTGAATTGAACAAGTTGTCGGGTTGAGACTCTACTTTGGCCATACATTTGGAGCTTCCCTTCCGCTTAATCGCCATTGACGAACATAGCCTCTCCTCTCTCTCTCTGTTCAGTCGAGAGACCACCAACACGCGAAACGCATGCGTTCTCCCAAATGCAAAGTATCAGGGATCGGCTAAATTCAGATTAGGTAGTGGAAAAATCTTATACTTACTCCCAATCTTTTTTTAAAAATCAATGATTGAAATTTCATAATGAGAGATAATAAAAAAAAAAAAGACAATATATATAATTTTCTTCTTATTTAAAAGGATTTATTGTTTCTCGTTTTTTCCCTCCATTATTTGTAATTAATAAAATAATGTGAATGATATTGTAACAATCAATCAGTGTTACTATCAAATAATTTCATTTCACAGTTAGATCATTATGTTGATCCAACAGGTATATTTATTTTCATATTTGTAGGGTTATGATCTCTCATATTTAATATTTTATATTTCTTTGTATGGTTGTGATTTTTCATATTTATTGCTTTCACATTAAATATGGAGAATCATAATCATATAAAAATGAAAATAAATAATCAAAATCAATGTTGTTAAAATAGAGATATTAAGTAAAATCGAAAGGAGATTAAAAAATCATAAAACGTAAAATCATAATGTAAAAAAATCGTGAAAAAGCGTAAAAATATAAAAGTGTTTAGAATATTAGTAAAATCATTTTGATGAAAAAAATAAAAATATAAAATTATAGTAATAAATCAAAATTTTAACAACAATAATAAAAAATAATTGATGTAACGATAAAATTGATTTGCCGGTGGTAATTGGTTCGGGAAAGTAATCACTCGAATTAATGATTCTGGGGGCGTCGTTTTGTTAGGTTCGGCAAAGTACGGTTCGCTGCAAAACGTTTATTGAATTGAACGAAGTAGACACTATGAGATTGAAATGAAGTGAAATGGCGAGAGTAAGCAGAGAAGTTTTGCAAAAGGCAGGGAAGACCCTATCCGAGATCCTCGTTTGCCCTCTCTCGAAGCAACCCTTGAGGTCATTTTAATCCCTTTTTATTTTCTTTTTCTTCTTTACTGCAAAGAAAAAAAAAAAGCAAAAAAAAAATCTCAGTACGTCTTCCCTAACAAGAGTCATCTCTATTTTGTGTAGGTATTGTGAGGAATCGAACTCCCTAATTAGCGATGCTATTGGCGTTTCTTTTCCCGTCGGTTTTAACTCCTACTTCTAATTCCTCTCTCTTCAACTTTCATTTTTCTTTCTTTGTGCATGATGTTGTTGTTTTGTTTCAAGTTTTGCGTTTAGATGCTTACATGTAACTGTGTTGTCAATATATGCACTTAAAAATGGTTACTTTCGGCCCTTGGGTAAATGGGTTTTCAACAGAGTTTGGATCTTTCACTTGTAATTGTCAATTGCCCTGTTTCTTTTGATCCTTTTTGAATTTTATGGCTCATTGTTTGTTAACAGTGTGGTTTGGTTACTGAAATTTCAATTGACACTGCCAGTATAACGCCCTATTTTCCAGTATTTATGAGTTTTTAGCTTGTTCTTTCTGTAAATTTCTCTCGGGTAGGGGTAAATGAATAAAAACATTTGTTGCAAAGAAAACCAAACTCCTCAATCCAAACATAACCAAAATGGCTGATATAACTGGACATTGACACACAAGGACATAATTACATGTAAATAATGTGCATATAGTTTTAGTGATGACTTAGTGTTCCATTTTTTATTTTTTTTATCTGTTAGGTAAAAAATGGGATTCCTTGCCTGGTTCCAAAAGATGGGAAGATACTTGAGGAAGAAGATGCATCAAAACCTGATGATGATGCCAATTTATCTGCGGTGAATGAAGAGAATCAAGGAAGAAGTTCCTAAGACGAACTGTAATTTTTATTTTTATTTTGGACTTTAATTTCGCAAGGTTCCTGTTGCCCTTTCTATGCGTTTCCTCATGTCATGTCTCTTTCTCCATATGATTATCAACTATCTGTGAGCCTGGTAGAATGTTGTGTGAGTAAGAAGTTACCCTACCCTGTTTACACTTTTGGGGAAGATTTGTGCTTCCTTCTATGAAAAAAATTTGAACAAATAAATCTCTTAATTTTCCCCGTTCCTTTCGTTGTTTGAATATTTTAACCTATATGAGCTAGTTGATTTGTATCTCTTAGATTTTTATCTTTAAATTCATGATTCAACCTTTGTTATATAACTCGTGGGAATTTTAGTAGGGAGATACACAATTTGGTAAAACAAAAAGGATAATTGCTTTTGTCTAAGTAAAGCGTGGAGGATACTGACCTCTATTCAAGAGATAAGGTTCTTCGTATATAGAGGGGTTTGGTATAGATGTATAATATCAATAGCTTTGCAGAAAGAGCCTTTTGATGATCGATGTTACTGCTGACTATCAATGCCATCTATTGAGAGGGATAGTAACGTGAATACGTTCAACTTTTTCTTTGACATGTATTGATTATATTAGTTAGTCATTCATCATATATACATATATAAAGAAAAGAAAGGCTAAAAGAAAGCAATAGAAGAAGATTGATGTACAAGATAGCTTTTCTTGATCTTGAATATAAATGTCTGCCTCAATGAGGTCTGGTAGCTTGACTTGTCTTTTACTACTTGCCAACCTTCCAAAAACACTTTTTCTTCTTCTTCTTCTTTTCCCCCTAACATCAAATCCTCTCATGATTTTGAGATTTTCCAATTTACGCTATTTTCATTTTTCAGTCTAGGAGAAATTTTTAATATTCTCCTGTTTAGCAAATTTTGTAAGTTTTGCTCGAGTTATTTGTTAATGAGGTTTCTTGATTCTTGAGTTACTTTGCATTTACAAAATAAAAAAACCAAGTTCCCTGCATTTACAAATTTTGTATCAAAAAACTGGCATAATTGTGAGATTTTTCTTATTTGCACGGCAAATAAAACTTTAATTCTTTAGGTGACAAGTAGCTATCGGTATAACAAATTTAAACGGGGATATCTCTCAGGTCAAGAGAAAACGTTTTATGGTAAAGTTACATATTGTAATTTGACCGGATAAATCTTCTATAGACAACTTGACAGGTTACTTACCATCTTCCTTCTTCCCTTTTTGCGTATTATACAAACTGCTTACACGATGGAGTGTGAAATTTGGTAAACGGTGGAAAAGGTAAATGATTCACATAGTTGTGCGAGTGTAAAAAATTCTGAGCTGTAAAGTGTAAATTCAAGTGAATTCTGTTTAAAAATTGATCTATAAAACTCATTTATATTCATAAAAAAGATTATCTTCATTTCAGCAGTAATTATACTTCAATTTGTTTGAGGAATCATTAACTAGCATGTCACCATGCCTTGTTGCGTAAATGGCGAAGCTGTTCCTTCTATCAACACTTTTCTCAGGGATAGCTCTTTCATAACGTTTCGTACCTTTTGCCACATTTTGCATCAAGTGTTCAAGAGTTCTACTTCCGTCGCTTTTTTTTTTTTTTTTTTTTTTTTTTAATAAAAGTTAAATTTTGTATATATTAAAACTATGCTTGTGCATTTTTGTTGATGTTTATGAGATTTTTATACTCGACATTTTTGTTTTTTAATTTATTTTGTTTCTTTCAGGCTATGGCCTTTCTTTTGTACTTAAAAAAAAGGAAAGAAAGAAATCTTTCTGCATCTTACACAATTTAGTATAAAGAATTTTTTTGAGGCAAAAGATATATAAATATAATTTTGTATTTTGACGTAATAACTTTCTTTAATAAAGTTAGTCCATCCTTGTCACAACTATCTAACAATAATTACAATTAACAAGCTAATGTCTCAAGTTTGCTTGTGATTCACCAAACAATTTAGAACACAATACGCTGATAAAATGTGTAAAGCAACATGGTAGAATCCTCATATTTGCAGTGAATCTTGCATATTCATTGCTAAATGTAGACACCATGAAGAACAATATAGATAGTTATTGACTGAGAAGTGTACAAGACTTGCTGAAAAGTTTCATTACGAGTGTCCCGGGGGTATCAAATTACCCTTATATCTCAACTGAAGGTGATAAGATAATGACACTAGGTACTACACAGGAGTTAGGCATCGGGTAGTATTATTTTCTCTCAAAGAAATGAGGTATATAGGTCAAGAGTAACACTCTGTGTTGGTGTAACCGCTTTGTGTTTGGACACAAAGAAACTGACACACACACACACAGCGCTTATCTAACCACCCTTTCAAACCAAGCAAAACAACTAACTATGACTAAATAAGAACTATAATTTTGACAATAAGACCCATCAGTTGCAACTCTATTTCTTATTAAAGGTCTAATAGAGATGCTTATCCATCACTAAATCAGATGACTCTCAAAGGTTTGGTATCACTTGTCCTCAATTTAATTGGTCTAGCAGAGGAACCAAGGACCAAGGATGCACCTTTACCTTACCTGCTATCTAGTCCTATTGTACCACAGAAGATCAAGCACCAATCATCTGAATCTGCGGCAGCATCCAATTTTATGGAGAATAGTGAGTGTGGTTGGTGTTGTGTGTGCTTGTCAAGGTTAAACGACAAGGATGAAATCCGTGTCCTTCCTTGCTTGCACAAATTCCATAAGATTTGTGTAAATAGATGGCTTAAGGGTCACCACAAAACATGTCCACTCTGCCGTTTCTCAATGGGAGCTGAGGAGAAGTCTCATCGTGCCGAAATGTTCACTGAAGAGATGCTAATGTGGTTTTCTTCTTTCCATATAACTGGTATGTAATGATTCAAAACTCACCCTGAATCTATGTAATTTTCTACAAGCAAAGCCTTGCTTTACTTTCGAGTTTTTGTTCATGCAAAGCTTATAAATCTGATTATGAGCAAGCTTAAATGAATTGTTATGACTTATGATGTTGTTGAGATATATAGTCCCACATTGATTGGATGGGCAACTAATATGACCTTTATAAGGCCTTGGGCACTCCCACCCCTTGAGCTAGCTTTTGGGGTGGTGTATCCCAAGGTTCTTTACATGGTATCAGAGCCTCACCGTCCCCCCGCTTTAAAGAGTGGAATTAAAAATAAAAAAAAAAGCACAAAAGGTAAACCAAAAATTGGGCCTGTGCAATTCCACGCTTCTAGCCCAAAGGGCTCTTGCGTGAGGGGGCGTGTTGAGATATATAGTCCCACATTGATTGGATGGGCAACTAATATGACCTTTATAAGGCCTTGGGCACTCCCACCCCTTGAGCTAGCTTTTGGGGTGGTGTATCCCAAGGTTCTTTACAGATGTCTCTAGGCCCGAAAAAAGGATTGTGATCGTGGTGATTGTGCTCATCTATGGCTCAAGTTTGATGGTACCCTCATACATTTAAAGAAAATGAATCCAAGTATTAAAAATATAAAAAACGAATCCAAAAAATTACCACAACTTTATATGCATGGTCAAAATTGATTTTGCTTTAAACTAATTTTATGTATCCATGTAAGATTAAATGGTTAAAATTAATTATTCTCAAAGGTCATTTCCAATGTACCCTCTATATGCATAGGGTAGAAGCTCTTGAACACGTCACTTGCACAAGTTAAATACTACAACAATTTAAAAAAAAAAAAAAAAATCATATTTTCGGATTATAAATTATAAATGCTAATGGAACAGGGGCTAAAAAATGTAAGATTAAAATAAAGAATTTCCTTTTTTTTATGCCGAAAAACTGTTGAATTATTATTTTTATTTTTTTTCACTACCCCATTTTTAGCCTAACCAAACATAAATGGAAGAAGGCAAAATCAACTAGATAACGAACATCGTCCTATATGTATGTCGGGCATTTTTATACGTTGGTGTTGTATTAGCCCAGAACGAGTAGCATGTTTTTGGGAAAGAAAATGCATATCATCATAGTTGAGCCCAAGCCCAAAATATCATTGATCCAAATCAGAAGAGAGGAAGAAATGCTAAGGGGGTTTGTCCATAATCTATCGACCAAATATGTTAGTAAAAGCCCGATGTTACGTCGACCGTTGGGTCATCCAGCCCAATACTAAGTGAACCCAATCTTTACGGGAGAGCCTAACATCTGACCCAAGTACTGAACATTGGGTCTTTCTTCAAACCCAGATGAAAAAAGTGGCATAAAATTAAAATTTTCCATTGCCGGGAATCGAACCCGGGTCTCCTGGGTGAAAGCCAGATATCCTAACCGCTGGACGACAATGGAACTTGCTTGATAAATGTGATTTGGTTACGTTTATATATTAAAACATTCAGACACTTAAGAATATTAAGTTAAATTAAATTTGCGATTATTTTAATTTGGAAAATTATATTCTTATATTATGGGAGATTATTTGTTCCTGTTATACTTGCATTGAAAAATGTGTAACTCTTTCTTTTAAAATAAAAAAAAAAATCCAATGAACCCCATTTCATTTGTCTCTGTCTCCTAGAAAAGTAATTTCCTTTTAATTTTACGTGTTTCTAAAGGTTTCTTAATTTTCAAGTGAAAGCTGCGTAACAGTGAGAATCTGCCATGTAATGGCTTGTCTTTTTTACATCACTTACACAATTGGCATCTCTCTCATCTGTGTAGTAGCATACAGCATCCTAAATTTCACATTCTCACAATCAATAGCCAATAAGAAAAACAATCAATAACCAAAAATTATATACAGTTAAGGAAATGGAAAGTAAAGAGTTTCGTTTCGATCCTCACGTGCAATTTTTAGGAGGAATTTAAATATTTTTATTTTTGATCTATCTTGCGCTTTGAATTAGTCTCATAGCCGAATCAAAAAGTCTAAGTTTATAGAAATACCAAAAAAAGTCAACTCGCATTAAGGTTGGGTTAATTTAAAAAAAAAAAAAAAAACACACTATATACAGCCTGATACTGCCAAAAGTAGCTCCACCAGAAGGAATAGAATCAACTTTTGCAAATATGGTAATAGGATGCATCTGTACACACCTCTTGTACAAAGAAGAATCATAGGCATAGATTTTTGACGTGCACAAATTACGAAGAAAAGGAAATGATCTTACGCTCCTGGACAAAGAACAATTTTGCGAATTGTGCAACTGAACGTGCACAAACAATTTTGTCATATAAATAAGTACCAGTGTACCTACCAATTACTGCATAACATATTAATGATATTAGATATCAGAATACAAAAGCCTATGACAAAATTGTTCAGTCATTATTTGTGCACTTGAATGGTTTCTTGAAATAATTTAAAGTTGGGCCTGCATCTAGGTTCATGTCCAAAACGTATAAAGAACGATAGTTAGACCTTGTTTTTTTTTTTTTGATAACAAGTTAGACCTTGTTTTATGTAGTCTTTCCATGGAACCCAAATGCTTCCTTTTTATCATTTATGAATTTTGAACGTGTGGTTATTTAAGGTTTAGCGATAATTTTTCATCGCTCAAATTTGTTATTGGCTTAATATCCTTATAATTTGCTTTTTCTAAAAGCTGCATAGACTAAACCTTAAATAATCAAATACAATGTTAGAGTATATTTTCACTTTTTCAGATACATCATCATCTTACTCATTTTATTATCCTAACAAAAAGTAGTGTAATTGCGATAACATTATCGATCGAGAGTTATTTCTTCAACTCAAAATCTACATTTATGGTAATATAAATTGGGTTTGTTTTTTCTGCAGTTAGTGCAGATAAGTTATGTAAGTCCAATACGACGTCATTTTGGGATGAAAATCATGATATTTTTGTAATTTTAATTTATTTCAGGGTTATAATAGTCTTAATATTTATAATTTTTTAAGATTTTAATACCAAAACGACGTCGTTTTGGGAATAAATGCAGATAACTTATCTGCATTAACTTCAGAAATATTTTTCCCATATAAAATTATATGATTTTTTCTTTCAAAATTCACACAACCAATTTTTTGAATTAATCAAACATTAAATTGATAATAAAGAGTTTAATAAAGTTAAGAATGGAAATAAATTATTAATTTGCCTGAAAAAGAGGGAAAATAGTATTATAGAAACATTGATTTAAAGTTTATTGGATAGAAGTGGCAATAGACACTCTAAACTCATATTATCAAAAGTTATATTTTAAACCTCAAAAGTGTGTTCTATTTGGTTTAATTCTATGCTCTACATATTTTTTTTTTTTGGAAATATTCCATCGATTCATCGCTTCGCGATTAGTCCGATTCGGGACGGGTCCAGAATTAAGGCTTTAAACCCCTCCCAAATGTGGTACTGGAGAGATTCGAACACATGTCATCACCCCCACCTGCTCAGCTCTCATGCGCCAACTGAGCTACCACCATTTGGTCATGCTCTACATATTCTATCACTTTCCGATGCAGGTTTGTTGTTTACATTCGCAGATTCTTGGCTATCGACATTATCCTTGACCTATTTGCAAAGCTTCTCCCACTTCTCGCCAAGTTTACATGGATTACCTCTCCATTTGAATGCTGCTGTCCTAATCCTAAGTGTTAGCCTTATTCCTATTAAATTAATGCCCTTCTCCCTCTCCTTGTCATGCTTGATGTGCTTTTAACTCTTGGTGGTGCAGATGCAGCAAAAAAAGGATTAACATCATATGCACCAGTAGAGGAAATTGCATGTCGCAAAGGAATAGCAAATCCAATATTAATATCATTGACAATTGCAAACCACGGTGGAGTAGCCGATCCAAAAAGAGGGATATTTGCATCTCCGTATTGCAAATTTGCCATTTTTCCAAATCCTAATAAGAGCATAAAAGAAAAGCACTACTTGCCAAAAATAGTGTCATAACCCAAAAAATAACTTTCATTAAGTGTTACTTATTTCCATTTTGTAAGGTTTGCAGATGCCTATTTTTTTCTACATTATACTGACTTAATTCCATTAGGAAATAAGAGATTGTGATGATCGAATTCATAATTTCATGATATCAGGAGATCTAATACCATGATAAATAAATCTTACCTAAAAACTTAAGCTGGTAATTGAAAATCTTCAATAATTTTTATATTATATCACTTTTAACATCATCATTCTCCCTTCCAACATTTTCAGATCTTTCAATTAGAGTTTTGTGAATTGAAGACCTGACTACTACAAGGCCAGTTACAGGCCACATATTCTCTCCAATAATGGGGTCCATTATAAGTCCATAGTATGTTGTCTATGTGATAGTGCTGATATATATGCTTAGTCCAACAGGTCTTCATTGTCAGCAAATATACCAATTACAACCTACCTACAAGGTAATCATGTTGTACCCTAAAACCTACATGCACAACTCCTTTACTCCAAATGCACTTGAAAGTGATGTGGGTAATTTTGGACTTCACACCGGAAATAGTGAAAACAACCTTGTTTTCATTATTTCATGTAGAGGTTTTTCAAAATAAGAAATAAAGTAAAAATAATATCATTTTTTTGTAATTTTTAGTGAAATAAATAAATAAATAACATATCTACAAACGAATTACTATCCTAAAGTTTTCTTGCCAATTACAGTGATCTCGAAAGGCAAAATAAGAAAACTCGAATAATCAAATATTAGGTATTTTATTTTAAAACCCTAAAATATATCGGGAAGTTTATATTCATTATATTTTTTTCTTATCTCCTTTTTCAATCAATTCTATTATCGTTAGATTAAAATCAAATTAATAATTACAAAGTTACAAATTTGATTTGATTTTGATATAACCATAACAAAGTGGTTGCAAGAGATGATAAGAAAAACAAATAATAAGTTTAACCCATCTAAAATTATATATAGATAAAAGTGAGGAAAAATTTACCGCCCGGGGGGGGGGGAGTTACTATATTAAAAAAATATATAAGTATCATGTTGACGGAAAAAGAAAATGCTTCCGGTTGACCTTTGAACAATGTGCATTATTTTATTTTATTTTATTTTTAAAAAGAAGATTATATTTACAAACTTTTTTTCTTACAAACTATACTAAATAAGACTGTTCAGATTTTAACCAAGAATGTTTATTGCAGTTTGTAAGATTTTATAAATAAAAAATTTGTAACTTCCCCTTTTTTTTAAATGATAGGCGCTACCAGTATGTGTCTATAGGTATAAGGTATCTCGTCTCCTCCAACGCAACATGAGAGGTTTAAACCTTTAAAAAGAATGGGGAAAAAGACATGTGCAGTAGATATTGCAAAAGTAACAAAGAAGAAGAAGAAAAAAAAGATACGCGTATAGGGGGAAGAAAAGTCGATAATATTCTAGTCCGAGGACAATCTAATCATCCATAAAAGAACGCCAGATTGGGGTATCACATAGAATAACAGAAGCGCCGAAACGATTCATTGTTGCCACAGTTCAATTTTGATCAATTAAGTTTAATTTGGAGACATGGTTCTTTAATTGGCAAATTGAGCTATATGTGAATGAGTTCCCACTCATTGTGCAAAGCTCAATTGAATTTCACTGAAGCAGCACCTCATGATCGAAGCCATCAGGTGTCCTACTAGGAATTAGCTTCACGCAACAAGAATGCGAGTACAATTCAAATTAAGGAATTTAGGATGAAAAAGAACCACACCTTGCGGTCCAGTTAGTCAAAGGGTTTTCTGAGGAAACCTAGTGGCCAGTGGGTCTGATTTCATGGTGTGGTAAAGGCCAAAGGGTATATATGCATGTTGATATTTAGTTGGAACACCAATAATATTCCCCATTTGCGGTACCACATTAACTTTTGGAAAAGCAACGTGAGTAAAAATCCTAATATAATGACATTTACATATATGGATAAACATGTTCAATACATATAATAAATTTAAATTATAGTTTATGATAAAGAATTTTTGTATACATATTGTTCGCCGAATAATCACACCCAAAATGAAGCAAGGCATTCCAGTAAAAAAAAAACAAGTGAGAGAAAAAGCATAAGGTATATCGCAAACTGAACTTCATTAAAGAAAAATGTCCACCCAGTAAACCACAGGACCACAAAACAACGGAAACTATGCTCTACGCCTCTACCTATATTGATAGCAACTTATCCAAGCTGTATATGCTAATGGTGCTGACCCACTATGTGATGGGAAAAGTTGCTATTCCTTATGAATGAGTCAAAGAAGAGATAAGAGTAGTATAGTAAACTCATTTATTGTGGTATATTATCATCTAATATTTGATGATAGTTCTTCCTTGTCATGGGCTCTTGTTGCTTGACCATTAATAATAATAAGTCCCTACCATGAGCTTCCGTTGCTTTACGTTATTGTTTTAACTTTAACCAATGCTTTCTGTTTCACTGTTTCACGTCTCTATTGACCTCCTTTTAGTTATAGTAAAGTCATAAATGATGAAAAGTATTTTTAAATCTCCTATGAAGAGTTGTTACAACTTACAGTACGTAAGTTTGCCTTTGCATCAATGAGCTTAACTTCTTCAACAAGTGATTTTAGAAGTGCACCCATCCATTTCACTTCAGCTCAATGCATTAAAAGAGAATTAAACCATTCAACTGTTAACTCAGTTCCAGCAGAAATAGTTAAAATAGAACGTACTTCTCTTTGATCCCTAAGTCGACCCTCTTAAATTACCAACACAATTTATTAATTATTAAACATTATAATATATATATATCAGTTAATAAGAAAAAAAATTAAATACAAACAAAATTGTCATTTTTATTTTTGGTTAAAAAAAAGAGTTTGACCTGATATAGGGAAAAGGAAGGGTAAGATTTGTGGGAAAGCAATGTAGTCTCAATAAAATTTGGATTCAAACATATCATTTAATCTAAGACTATTGTTCAGTCGTTGATAACTTTAATCAACATAAGTTATTAACATAACTATTATGATCTCACATTAATCAGTATTAAATTAAAAAAAAAAGTCAAATCTCACATGGAGGAAATGACAAAAATCACACTGTTGGGGAAATTGGTATATATTAAGAGGCCGTTTGGTATATGGCTTATCTTAGGATTCTCAGGAAAATAATTTTTTGTAAATTTTAAATTTTCAGATATTATCGTAAACTGAATATAAAAATCATATTTTTGAAAATTAAGATTCCCGAACAAAAAAAAAATTCTCCTGTACCAAACGCCTCCTAAAAAACTTTTTGGTAAAGGACACTAGACTCGGGAAGATAAAGAGATAAGAAGAGCTTGACTAAAATGCAGATAGTTTTATTTTAGCAGTGCGTAAAAAATTCAACATTTTGATATAAATAATACTACTTAATTAGCAACTCGACAAATTCATAGTGTTTTGAGGCATCCCATGGCTTTTAATAATAGCTACACAACAAAATCATAGCTGAAAGTTTGCCCCTTTGTTAATGTGATCAATAACAAGTAGCTCTTAATAAACAGCTACGATAATGAGATTAAATATCATATTATTAAGCTATCGTCCTATCTCGGTGCTAGTAACAGTATGGTTGGGTAAAGAACAAAACGTCTTGTCTTGGAAAAATCATCCAGCTTATAGGCTAGACTCTTCCCACTTATCGCTCCCCACATATTTCGCTTTCCGCATGAAGAAAGTTTTGAATAGAGCAAAAATGCTAAACGTCAAAACCAGGGAACAATACCATAAAAAGAGTCATCAAATTAAGTCCATTTGTTGAGGTCCGTCCCTACAGGGAATGCAAAAGCACCTTCTCCTCATACATATTCTCCAAATAACTGTCAATATAAGACAGATTTAAACGTGGAAGAGTCACAACCACAAACCCAGATATACAATAAAAACCATATTACATCATCAAACACTCTCAAAAGGTTGCGATTTTCAGGAGCATTTGGGTGGACTGATTAAACGAGTGTGTGCTAATAGATTCTTCTCAAAATGGAGCCGTAGATGCTCTATATAGGTTGCTCTTCTTCTTTTGCTGATTACTGGCTGCGGGTTCACTCAACTACAATCATCAAATAGTTACATAAAGGAGTAAACATTATTTGTTTTCAAGTATATGGAATGACCCACTAAAACAAAAAAACGAGATAATCATCATCTACCTGTTGCTGTCTTTTGAGCCTTGCATTCTCTTCTAGCAAGTGTTTAACTTTAAGCTGCAACTCATTCGTGTAAGCCTGAAGAAACAAAAATGGAGACTTGTTATGCAAATTAGCAATAAAAAAAATTGAATATATATATATAACCCAGTTATTATTTCATTTTGTCAACAATTATTATTATAATTATTATTTTGGTGGAATAACCACTTAAACGGACCTAATGAGTATTTGGAGTGAAAGGGGGAAAGAGAGAAGAAGAAAAAACAATATTTTCCTGTTTTCTAGCTCGTGATCGTGCAGCAGACTCACGATTCTTTATCATACGCTTATGGCGCCTGTCACCGAGGCTGGTATCAGCAGGTTCTGCAAACCTCGTGGTTCCAAAACAGTGCAAAGAGGAAGGGTTGGAGAGGCTTTCAAATGAGGATGTGTTATTGCTGAAAGAAGATACCATTGAAGGAGGGTGATGGAGGTTCATAGGTTGCGAGTTTTGGGGTCTAAGAGGATCGAAATGGAACTCAGGGCGAGAGTTCAAGCTAAGAGCAGTGACGGGGGGTGGTGGGGTCGGTGAGGCAGAGCAATAAAGAGAAGCCCTTTCTGAAGAAGGAGAAGAAGAAGAAGAAGAGACCATGCTGTTTGGTGGGTCTATGCTGAAGGGTCGACCCAGAAAGTCTTGGACGATAACACCTCCAAAAGTGGAACGGGTAGTAATGGGTCGAGCGTTTTGTTCATTCAAGGAAGCGAGATTGATGTCTTTCCATACCTCTTCCATGGTTGGTGGTTCTTCTTCTTCAAGGAGAGATTGGAGAGGGTTGTTTTGATGATTATGACAGTGATTTTGAGAGAGGAGGAGGTACGAATAATGTTATAAAGAAGGGTACGATTTGAAGTTTATTTTAAGAAATCGTCGAGAACGAGAGAATATAGAGTGACAGAGAGAGAGAGAGAGAGAATGGTAAGGGTTGAGTAACGTTGTTGTTGACTGTTGCTAACTAGTATTCGTGTTTGCTTGATATTTTGCAGCACTTTGTGTGAGTAGTCATATCGGAGTATCGACACGCGTGCGTAATCTTATTTGAACTTCTCCATCCACCTGTCGATTGTTGATAAATTAGTTTATCAATCTGGTTCGAGTTTTATGACATTACTTCGTTTAAATTTTAGGCTTAATGTTTCTATAATAAACATACGGGAATATTAATGTCAAGTAACATGATATTAAAAAAATTTCTTACACAAATAGATTTTAGTGGGTCCTACCATAAAAGAAAAATAAAAAACAAAAAAAATGTCTGCACGCTTCTTGATGAAGCAGTAGGAAATTTGTTAGCTATCATGTTACTTGACATATACATTTCCCATAAACATATGAGTTATTTATATTCGTTCTGAAAATGATATAATTTTAGATTGAAAAATTAAAAATTTATAATGAAAAAGATTATTATAATCCTGAAACAAAATATAATTATAAAAATACCTTGATTTTCGTCTTAAAATAATATCATTTTAGGCTCAATGTAGATAAATTATCTACATTGATGGTAGAAAAAATGAACCCTAAATTTTATAAGAAGATGATTAATTTTTAAGTTATTTTAGACATTAAAAAAGGAAAAAACTATTCTAATGTTATTAAAGAGTAGTTCTCTTTTTTCCACACCCATCAATTTTTTATATAATTTTATTTTTTATAAGTGATTGGGTCATGTCTATAATTGTGTCTATATTAAGAGAGAATTACTCTCCATAACATAAGATTAATAAAGTCCAAAAATATACAAAAAAATTCTTTTCTTTGTTAGTTATTATTTTGGAACAAACGTCTCTCTCCTTGTCTCCTGTGGATTTTAATTCACAATAAAAGTTTATGTGAAAAGATATTGTAACAATTAATTAGGGTTACTGCTAATGTTATTACCAATCAATTTCATCGTTAGATCGATTATGTTGATTCAAAACTTATATTTATTTCCATCTTTGTTGATAATGATTCCTCATATTTAATACTCTATATTTATTTTCATCTTTATAAGATTAGGATTTTTCATATTTAATGCTTTCAAATTAAATATGCAGAATCATAATCATACAAATATGAAAATAAATATAACCTTTGGATCAACATAATCGATCTAACGAAAAAATGTATTAGTAGTAATTTAAGTAGTAACCCTAATTAATTGTTACAATATCCTACCCCAAAGTTCATAACAAAAAATGTTCGGGTCAATCGAAACTCTCCGGCCAATTGGAAGACAAGAGCTTGAAATTTGAACGTTTCTTAAATATAAATATAGAGTTCATGTTTTCTTATGTTGCAGGACAGCATAAGAGAAAAAAAGTAGAGATAAATTAAATGTGAGTCCCACATTTTATATTAAAAAAGAAAAAAAATTAATTGGCACGAAAAACGAACTCTTTGCAGGAAAAAGTTTTGCTTTCCTGTGTCATAGGAGAGCATGATTTTCGATAAATATATCTACTATGGCAAAAACATCCTTTTAAGACTGTTGGGAAAAAAATTTACCATTTAAAATAAATTGGATATATTTTTTTTAAACAAAAGCGATCAACCATTTAAAATAAATTCGATAATTTTTTTTTTTAAACTCAAGCGATCAAACACATAATCAAGCATTATGTGACTGATGTCATGTCAGCACCATATAGACAATTTTACACCTAGAAAATACGGGACTCATTTGGTGATGACATGTTGCACGAAATTTTCAACAATTTTAACGTAAAATTTCAGAAGGCCATAACTTTTTGAGATTTATGCAATGACAATTTATTTGACATATTTTATCTCACATAAACATAGTTCGAATTTGCAACACTGGTACCGCAATCATAAGAGCATTTAAACCCAAAAACTCACAAGTTCTTGCCAAACAAACACCATGAACTGCAGCATGTGTCATCGATTGACACGTTTTTATATATGTGAATAACATTAATTAATTCTTATTTGTAGAAAATCAGAATTCAAACATGTTTCCGTTTTTATTTCCTATTAATTAGGAATGATTATGATTGATTAGGATTGATTGTGATTGATTAGAATTGATTGTGATTAGGATTGATTAGTCATCGCTTAGTCATTCTTAGCGATTCTTTCTTGTATAAATACTCACTCATGTCAATTATTCAATATCAATATACAAAAACTTCTTTTCAATATGGTATCAGGAGCGGGTTTGTTCCTACCCTAATTCAAATCTGAAATAACCATCCAAACACTTCCATCACCGTCAAACACCTCTTAAACACCTCCTTGAATCTGTCCAACACAGAAACCTAGTCTACTGACCTCCGATCAAGAAAGTGAGGTGACCATTCGACTCAGAAGGATCCGACGAGTCGACCGCCGCTCGCGCCGTCACAAGCGCGGCCAGTCTCCGGCGCGTGAGCTCCACGCGCCGCCTTCCCAACGTCTTTTTCCGCCGCGACTTGCACAGACCTTCTCGCCGGCTTCTCCCCTTCCTGTTCCAGAGGTCAGATAAAAAAATTTACAAAACTTGATTTTTCATCAACGGTCAACCCTTCTCTTTCTATTCATGGCTTCCTCAAAACACTCTTCTGCCTCCTCATCACCCCTTCCTAAGGCCACTAGTCATGTGGTCCAGCAAGGTACAGTTTTCCATGTTGATAGTCAAAATCATTGGATCCTTGATTCTGGAGCCTCTGATCATATGACAGGTAATCTTGGCTTGTTTTGTTCATACAATCCATATTCTGAACCTTCTCGGGTCAAAATTGCCGATGGCAGTTTTTCCCAGATTGCGGGACACGGAACCATTAAACTTTCTGAGTTGATTACTCTGACATCAGTTCTTTATGTTCCTTCTCTGACTTGTAATCTCATTTCCATTAGCAAGCTCACCTCTGAGTTGCATTGCTTTGCTAAATTCTTTCCACATGGTTGTGTTTTTCAAGAACAGGACTCGGAGAGGATGATTGGCAGTGCTAGAGAGGATGGTGGACTTTACTACTTTGAGGAGGATGTGACTCATGAAGCTGTTTTCGTAGAAAAAAACTCTATGTTTCCTTTTGATTCATGTAATGATGTTATGCTGTGGCATCGTAGGCTAGGCCATCCAAATTTTATTTATCTTCAGAAGTTGTTGCCAAACTTATTTATTAATAAAAGTCCAAGTTTGTTTTCTTGTGATATTTGTCAACTTGCCAAGCATACTCGTGCTCATTATCTTTCTAAAGTTCACCATGACTCTGCCCATTTTCCTTAATTCATAGTGACATATGGGGTCCAACCCGTGTTAAAAATATTTCAGGTACTCGATGGTTCATTACCTTCATTGATGACCATTCTCGAGTCTGTTGGGTGTATCTTCTAAAGGATAAGTCCGATGCTGCATCCGTGTTTAAAAATTTTCATGCCATGGTTCAAACCCATTCCAAGTTGCTATACAAATTCTTCGTACAGATAATGGCAAAGAGTATTTTAACTCTATTCTTGGAGAATATCTTTCCCAACATGGCATCCTTCACCAAAGCTCGTGTCCTGACACACCCCAACAAAACGGAGTTGCCGAAAGAAAAAGCCGACATCTCCTTGAAGTTGCTCGGGCTCTTATGTTTACCACGAGTGTTCCTAAATATCTTTGGGGAGAGGCAGTTCTCACTGCCTCGTATCTGATAAATCAAATGTCATCTCACATTCTAAAATTCCAGTCTCCTCTTTCTAGTCTTGTTCGTATCTTCCCTTCCTTCCGAGGTGTCTCCTCCTTACTTCTCAAGTTATTTGGTTGCGTTGTATTTGTCCATATTCCCTCCCATCAACGGTCTAAGCTTGATCCTAAGTCTCTTCAGTGTGTCTTTATTGGTTATTCTCCTACTCAACGTGGCTATAAATTTTATTCACCCTCTCTTCGTAAGGTCTTTGTCTCTATGGATGTCACTTTTTCTGAGAATGACCCTTTCTTCCCCTCGACTTCTCTTCAGGGGGAGTCTATAGGAGTAGATGAAGATCAGTCATGGGAACCTACTGATGCCACGGTATTACCTCTACTTTTAGAAACAGGGGGAGCTACAGAATCCTCACCATCAAGAGCCTCCTCAAAATGGGGACAAGTTTATAGCAGGCGAAAGCCTCCTCAAAGTGTGAATAACCCAGAGCCTCTACACTGCCAGGATTCTGAACCATGTTCTAGTTCCAGCACCCCAATACTTGAGTGTCATGATGAAAATGATCTACACTTGCCCATTGCTCTCAGAAAAGGTACTCGATCTTGTACTACTCATCCTATTTCTAATCATATTTCATATGGAAAGTTGTCCCCAGGGTTTCGTGCTTTCAATACTATGTTGGATAGTACAAAGATACCGAGAAATATACATGAGGCTCTCAATGATCAAAAATGGAGGTATGCTGTCTTTGAAGAAATGAATGCTTTAGAAAGAAATGGAACTTGGGAGATAGTGACCCTACCCAAAGGAAAACAGGCAGTAGGATGCAAATGGGTGTTTACAATAAAATTCAATGCAGATAATAGCATCAACAGATACAAGGCAAGATTGGTTGCAAAGGGTTTCACTCAGACTCATGGGATAGATTATCATGAGACTTTTTCTCCGGTTGCTAAAGTCAATACCATCTGAGTTCTCTTATCTCTTGCTGCCAATCTAGATTGGCCTCTGCAACAGTTAGATGTGAAGAATGCATTCCTAAATGGTGACTTACATGAAGAAGTCTATATGGATCCTCCACCTGGTTTTGAAAAGAGAAATGGATCAGTGTGTAAACTAAAAAGGTCTCTATATGGATTGAAACAATCTCCCAGAGAATGGTTCGACAAATTCACACAAGCAGTCAAAAGAAAAGGCTTCATTCAAGCACAAACTGATCATACTCTCTTCCACAAACACTCTAAGGATGGTAAAATTGCTATTCTTATTGTATATGTAGATGATATAATTCTTACAGGTGATGATATTGAGGAATTGAACACCTTGAAGAAATTTCTAGCAGCTCAATTTGAACTCAAAGACTTTGGC